CGCGTGTGTGCGCTTCTGCCAGCGTCACAGAAGTCGGGATTTCACAGGACGACACGGTCATTTGACGTGGAGCATTTCGAGGATTGCTGCTTCCTCATTACGCTTCCGCGTCCTCGTGATTGTCGCTCTCATTCTCGCTCCAAACGGTCCGTCAATATAGGGGATCCTCCGCTACGGACGCGATACCAATGTTTGCTTGTTAAATTAGAAACCGATCGACGCACGGACTTTGAGTAGACCGCCGTCCTTGAATAGACCTGTACTGCCCCACCCCCCACTCCCACTCCCACCACCACCACCCTCCTGTGCCCCTCTTGTCTCTTTGCCGCTGCAATTGCTTATACTGCCGACTCTCGTAGCCGACTACCACCTGGCTCGACACTGATCGCGTCCTATCGGAAGAACGGGATTCCGAAGAAATCCGTCAATCGTGATTCGTAGGTGCAGGCACCCACGCCGTGTAGGTAAGGAAAGCAGCAGCCGCAGCGAAGTGTCATGGCCTGATAGCAACGGAGAGGCGGCAGTGAGGTGCCGAGGTGCCGAGGTGCCGAGGAAAGCTCATATCGTATTAATAGGCAATCCGGGCAGCCGAGGGGTGTCATAAACTCGAACCCCCTAATACTCGCCTAAACTACCTCGGTTAAATAATGGAATCCCTATTCCCCTATTGCCGTCCTTCGTAACGTGTTCCCCTATCCATCCAGTCGGTGAGGCTATCCAGCCATCCAGCCATCCAGCCATCCAGCCATCCAGCCAACCAGCCAAGCAACCATATTACCAGGAAATTCTGAAATGACGAGCTCCTCGTAAAAAATTCAAAAGTGGCAAAAAGTAAAAGGGACCCCCCGACAGTCAATCGGACGATTCACGCTTGTTTTGGCTGTTCGGCAGAGCGTACGTGCTTGCTGTATCGCTAAATATATCCTGGTATGAGAAGCGTGTCGCTTCTGCCTCCGGGAGGAGGACGAGACGACGGCTGGAAAGAAGAGACTAGAAACGAAGTGACAGGAAAGAAGTCGGAAATCGTTAAGTATTCGTCGGCTTGGGACTCCTGGACAAATAAGACGAGTCCGTCGTTGACTTGCATCGCGCCTCTCGCCTCTCGCCTCTCGCCTCTCGCCTCTCGCCCTCGAGGATCTCTACTTATTACTCGTTGCGCTAACCAGACTGGCGAGACTGACAACTCTAGCTGCTTCGGTGCTCCAATGACTCGTTAATAGATACAGAGAAAAAAAGGACAGATGGACGAGAAATTGTAAGAACTGCGGGCCGGTGAAGGGGCGGCGTGGGGGGAACGAGGATTCGTTTGCTGCTGATACACCGTCAACGCGAGGCGCGAAGCTAAATAATAATTCTCACTTAACTAACTCGGTTAACTAGCTACCGTGCGCGGCTAATAATAAAGGCGTCGAGGGTGGTTAGGTTGGTGGATGAGCTCGTGTAGGGCGGACGGACGGACGGACGGACGGACCGACGGACGCCCGCGGAGCGCGTCGAGGCCTGAAGTCAATTTGTCGGGGAATGCGTTAGCAACACGTGCGACGCACACCTTCCCTCTTTTCCGCACCTCTCTAGCACCACTACCCTTCCTTTCTTCCTTTCTTCCTTGCTTCCTCGCTTCCTTGCTTCCTTGCTTCCTTCTCACTCGAATGAGATGGGAATCGAAGAATCGAAAACAGTCCCTGAGTTGTCAGCCGGGGGATGGTATCCTTAATGATCCTCGAAAGATCTGGCTGGCTTCGATGTGGGCTTCGAATGGCATCCTCCCGCACGGGAGCGACTGACAGTAGCAAGAGAAAGAAATGCGCTCGCGTCGGCTCAAGGACCAAACGGAAAGGAGCGAAGGCACCGCGTCAAGACACGACAAGGAGAGCGCGAGCTGAGAAAGGGCAGGAGTGGCTTCCAGGGAGAGAGAGAGAGAGAGAGAGAGAGCGCGAGGCAGCACACTACCCGGTAAAAGGGTAGATAGATACACTGCACGGTATTAGTAGGTATTAGGTGTTGGCCTGGGAACGAGTGCACGTGCTCCGAGAGTCGCCCCCGTTCCTCTGGGTTCAGATAATTCTTTAAGTGCTTCCGCGCTATTCCGCCACCCAGCCCGCGCCAACCCGCGCCAACCCGCGCCAACCCACGACAGCCCACGACAGACCTACACTCACCCGACCGATCCCGAGTGATCTCGACAGCCCCGGTGTCCCCAACTGACAGTCCCACTCCACGAAAGAATCGACCTGAGACATTATAGTCGGTACGATCAAACATTTACTGCCTCGCGTCTCGACCTCCCGTAAGTGCCGAAACAAATCTTTTCTCGTCTCGTGGTAAACGAACCCCCGAAAGCCCACGACATTCCCATATATTCCAAATTTTCCTGGGTTTAACACTTTCGAGTACCACGTCGCGTCGGTATGCGCTCCACATAGCTCCGCAGCTTCATAGAGATCATTTCCATTTTGTTCGCCACTCGATAAACACCTCTTGACTCGAGGCACCGCCATTACTGCCAACCTACCCGGCAACGTCCTCTATATCTACGCGCGGCCCTGCAACGGTGTGGTTTGTAATATTATGATAACCCTCGTCCCGTCGTCTCCCTCTTTCAGCGGCCATGTTGCCGGGAAATATGATTATTGTTATTACTTGCGCCCTGCTACGCTCCTTCGCTCCTTCGCTCCTTCGCTCCTTCGCTCCTTCCTCTTCCTCTTCCACGTCTTGCTTGGAAACGCCGTCCGCGCGCCGTTGCCTGCAGCCGGATACGCCGGTTATCCCACTGCGGCGGCCGATCACGTGTCCGACGAATCGCAAGGATGCAAACGACCAGATAAAGTTTGCGGCGCGACACGTTCCCAAAATACAATTACAGCCTCCCCTATCTTCTCACTTTTCTTCGTTGGTGCCCCTCGGGATGAGATTTCCGAAAGGTATACCTTCCATAGAAAACATATAAATACTTAGCCTTAGCTAGTTATACATATTTTTTTTACCCTTGGGTCGTCACACACGATTCATCAGACCGAGAAATTCATTGCTCCATGACTTTTGAGTAAATGCGTATTTTTAGGTTCATTTATAGTGAAATCGAAACGCCAGACTCTGACTGACTATAGTCTAATAGGAAAAATAATTAGTTGAAAAAGTTGTAACATTTGCAGCTTTGAAACGTGCCGTGACGAACAGGTGAAAATGTAGTGATTTCTCCCGGTTCACCGAACCAGATATGAGAAGTTAGGATCAATTCCGCTTTGTTTGCGGCAAATATAATAAGTCTGCGATTGTCCCGAGAACTCAATGACCACGCGGCCCCCATTGTTATGTGACGATCGATGCAGAAGAGCGCAACACGCTAAATCAGATGGATACGGTGCGAGGAGCGAGCGATGCGAGACAAACATAGTGTCAATTTCAAACCGTTTACCAGTCCACTCGAACGGCACATGGTCATTAGAGAATAGCAGTGAAAAAGATGGTGGTGATGCCCCGTTGGCTCCGTCCGCCTCTAGTCGCTTTCCGGTAATAAATGGGCTACAGGAGTGCTTATAAAGAGTAGTAGGTAATCTAAGGCTTTGGCGGTCTCCTCGGTGAGCTGCTGGTGCTACTAGTGGTCGTGCTAGTGGTGGTGGTGGTGGTGGTGGTGGTGGTAGGAAGAGGAGGAGAGAGAGAGAGAGAGAGAGAGAGAGAGAGAGTGACGTTTCGTGAGTGCGCGGTGGGACGATCCGGGGGCGCGGGTGGGGGGTCGGGCACGCGGGTGGGCGGGGATGCAGGGTTGCGCAGCGTAAGCGAAGAACCAAGCGACTCAAGTCCGAGAGTGTGAGGAGGTGAGGTATAAGGTGGGTAAGATGGCGGACAATTTGCCGCTCGACTACTCTTGCCCGCACCCAACTCCAGTATTCCACCGCTGTTGCCCCGTGTACCGGGTAATAGATGTTCCTCCTCGGGACAGGGATACCCGAGAGCAGAGACAGAGAGGTGTGCGCGTAAGGGTATGCGCGCGCGCGCGCGCGCGTGCACGTCTCTTCGACCGCGCTGGTGCAAACTTTATCGGTCCTCGCAATACTTACAATTAGTTCCTTGGTTCGTGCCTGCTGCACGCATCTACGTATATATTCGTAAGTCTATATAGTATAGTCGTGGAACCATGGTTACACAGACGTCACACATCAGCGCCCGCAGAATTCCTTTAACCTCGAGAGCCCCGGATGAGTATTTAAACGCGCTATTGGCCTTCTCTCCTCTTCCGCTTCGTGCTTTGGCGTCAGCGTTACCGCGCGCCCCGTCGTCACCACCGCGCCTTCTCTCTCTCTCTCTCTCTCTCTCTCTCTCTCTCTCTCTCTCTCTCTCACGTTCGAAAGAATCACACTCGGAATCTGCCACCTGCTCCTTCCTCGTCACACTGCTATTCGGATTCGATACTTATACTTCATTGTACTCTCTCCTCCCTCTCCAAAGCATCCTTTAGTATTCGGTCCGCCATCTTCTCACTTAATAAAATAATTAGCTTGAGTCAATTAGGCCTTCCCTTCATTATCCCCACTCGTATTCTACGGTTGGCGGAGAACCCTATCGTTGCGGTGTAGGTTACGCCACCGCGTACTAGCCTGGTGGTCCAGGGCATTCACGATGTCGGTGGATAATTCCAGTGTGCAGGATTCCAAAAAATTGGCAGCACGAAAGTCAGTGCATTCGTGTGATTTCTCGTCTCGTTCCCGTTATTGGATAACGTATGTGCAATCCAGAAACTTAAGGTATTTAAATTTCAGTTTAAAATTCAATTCTGCTAATGTCAAGAATATCGAAGGTGTATGATTTTTTAGGTGAAACGTGGAGAGGATTAGAAAATACTTGATTGAAATTTTGAAAATTTCAATAAATAATCTAAATGGTCAGGATATTCGTGGCTTATTTTACTAATCGAGAGGGCGACATCTCTGCGCGGAACATAAAGCTTGACGCTCGTGGTCGAACTCTCTCGGTACGTTTGCAGAACGGCTGGGAGTGGCTCCAGCGATCGATCGAGCTTTGGTCGTTGAAGCAACGAGGGCAGCACCATCGAAGTGGTCCTAAATTCAGCCTACTTCCTAATGGCGGCGTAGTTACGTTGGTGGTGCATGGTGTCTTGCCGTAACCAAACATGTCGGCAGGCGTATTGTTTCGTCGCGTGATACTCGTTGGGACACAAATACTACACTCGAGCGTCTTGAAACTGCCTTCAGGACATTCATTGCAGCTCGGTAGAAGTCTGTGGCGTCATGTGGAGGTTCCGAAACCTGGAGTGGCTGGGAAGAGCTATCGGCGAATCGTTCACTTTCCGAAGGAATATACAGTTAAGCCGTTGGAGGTTACCAATTTAGCCGGAAGAGATCCCGTAACAGGTATGTGCTTGGCGCCGCGTGTTTGTGAGGCAGACGTATCTGTCAGTCAATGCATCACGTCACGTTTATCAAACGTAAATACGTAAATATTAAGTTTACACGCACAGGTCTTAGAAAGAATTATCCAATCACGTCAAGTTATTCTTTTTAAACCTTACACGTAATTGGTCAATCCTGTTTAAACAAAACCCGTGCGTGTAAACTTAATGGAAGATAGCCTAACCAATTTCCAATTCGAATCTAGTGTGATATCTCACCTCGAAATTGCAGTTTATTCGATTTAACATATTTTCTGTTCACACGCGATGATTACTCTTCTCTGTCATGCCGGCTATGATATTCAGTTCAAAGTACCGAGCGCCTCGGTTTACATGCTCATATAATACTAATAATGCATTCTGTTGGTGTAACTCAACAGGGAGAGTTGTGGCCAAAGGCATCGGCGGTGGGATAAAGCACAAGTACCATTGGATCGCTTGGAAGAGGGATGGACCTACGGACGTTGGTGTCAAGCCGAAGGAGGAAAAAGTTCTTGAAGTATTTCAAGACGGCTGTAGAACAGCATTCGTGGCTCTTGTGGGAACAGGTCGTGATCTCAAGTATATTCTGGCAACAGAGAACATGAAGCCGGGCGACGTGATTCGTACATCCTGTGCTATTCCAAGGAACCCCGTGAGACCGGCCGAAGGCGATGCGTATCCCTTGGGAGCACTGCCGATGGGCACACAAGTACACTGCGTCGAGAAGTATCCAGGAGCCGGTGGTTGCCTCATTCATGCGGCAGGTACATTCGGTACTCTCATGCGACGGGACGGCAATGACCGAGTGATCTTGCGGATGCCTAGCAAACGCGAATTTAGCCTTCATCAGAACTGCATGGCTACCGTCGGGCGTCTCTCGAACGTTATCCACGGAAGTACTCCTATTGGCAGCGCCCAGCGGAACAGAGAGCTTGGAAATCGACCACGTAGCGGACTGTGGCAACGTAAAACCGGTCGCCATGGCCGAAAGATTCGACCGCCTCCTCCGGTGCGCAAGTTCGACCACAATACGCGATCATCTCAATCCGTAGCGCCGATACGGCTTAGTCTTAATGTATGAGTAATGAAACGTTGATGCCAATGGCAAATAAAGAGTGTTATTAAATATAATATAGGATTACATGGAATCGCGTGGAATTTTTTCAAAATCAGTCTAACCGTCCTCGTTAGGATTGCGAAAGAGTACTCAAGAATCCGAACCTCCGTTCTTTATTGTCAATTTTGTTCCATCTGCTTTCGATCTCTTCTGCTTCAAAGTCCTTTGTTGTAATAGAGGGTGCGCGTCTCTGGCTCTCGAGTGAGAACGAGTTCGCGTACCTCAGGCTCCAGTCGCTCCAGCGGGATAGCCACTCGTTGGGCGAACAGAGCGCAGCAGAGCGGAGTCGCAAAAGTTAGACAGACGCCGCACAGTATCACTTGGATCGGTCCAGCGGCCCACTTTGCTCGACGTAACAACCCGCGCCGCTCCAGGAAGTCGAGAAGTAGCGGCGACAGCACTATATTCACGTACATACAAAAGAAATGAGAGAGTGTGAATGCACTGTGCAAATTCCAAGTGTGTTATTCCTACGATATTTCTACGATAGTCACTTGTTAAACACTTACCAAGTCTGTTGTTATTTCCACATACTCCAATGTAAAAATCACACTTGCGTGCAAAAAGTTACTATCGTAGAAAGGATAGGGAATGGGACACTTCGCGACGCACTTGAACTTTATACTGTATTCGTGGTATCTACATGTTTTGTGTTTGTATTACAGCTTCGAGGGCCGAGTATCCTAATAACGCGTGCATTGTGTCAGCTAGAGTTTCATAATAATTACGAATAAGATGACAAAAGAGAAAAAAAAAATTAACTGGGAAATAACACAATCATGTAGAGCTTTAAGAATTACAGATGGCAGGGCGAAGGGGCGATTAGGATGAAAAGGAAATACATACCCATGCTGGGTGATGCCATTAGAATACGCGAGATGGTCACAGAGCCAATTGCCTCGCGCGCAGCTTTGCGACTTTTGGCGATTGTCGTGCCCTCCGCGTTTCGAAGATCGATTCCCTCGCGCAGCTCGGTAATTCGCATCAGAGGAATGTTGACGCAATTGGCAGCGGCCACAGCTGCGAGCGGCACCAAGCGACCTGCCAGGGGTGGAGCCCTCCTGGACAAACGATTGAGACTCAGGGCCGTGATCACGGCCCCGGTGGTCGCTCCAACGTAGCTTTGCACCAACGTTGACAATGGAATGGGATTCGAGCCGCTACGATTCGTGTAATTGACCACCGCGTTGAACGACTGATTGCACCATTGCCAGAATATCACGGCAGGAGTAGACCTAGGCAATACGAAATGAGATCCGAGTAATAAAAGTCATGCTTCGGCGTCTTCACCGTCCCGTCGTCGGGACGGCCGCGCAGGCCTCAAAGATGGAAAACCAGAGAAGAGACATGCAAAAGAAAGAGAAAAGGCCAACGTGGCTAGAGGTCAGGGGTTATCGCGTCCCGTCGACGATACGGCGCTCAGCGCTCGGTAGATTCTCGAGCGATGTATATACTTGTAGAAAGTCATCATGCAACCCGTGATGATCATGTTCATGGGTACTTGGGCGCTCATGCGTCCTATCACCATCATTTTTTCGCCAGTGTCCGGATGATACGCACTGTCGTAGAGGTACTTGCACTGCCAAAGTTGATCCGCCGTGATGCCGAGTCGTTCAAGCGAATCTCCTTTCCTTAAAAATTGCGAAACAGTCGTTAGCTGATAACTGACGATTGCGGGACGTGCGCTCATCGAAATCGTTCGTCAGTTCATGTATGCATATAAGTCCGTATTCAGAATTCGGTTTTAATGCTAGTAGCGCGCTTTTAAATGTTTTCTTAGTGACTAATTAAAAAGACAATTGACTCTGTTAGTGACTTTAAGAGCGAGACGTGAACACGGGCTATAGAGTATATCGAGTGCGCGAGTGAGTGTAGCATTCGCATCACTCTGAGAACGTACCTGTACTTCAGGACGACATCGCGAGCACGCTCAAGACTTCTGCTACTCACGAAGGCATTCAGAGGATTCGTTAGGGTCAAGAAGTGTCGAGCTCTTCCGACATAGGTGCTCTGATCCCACCGAGGTTCCTCAATGTTTATTCTCGGGCTGGCCTCCCTACTCGTAGCCCCTTCCAGCATCACCGACATAACCGACTCACTATACCTTCTCTTACTTTCCTTTATTTCCTTATTCTCTACGGCACGGCTATCGCCAACGCCTAATGCACTGTTAAGCGTTGTCTCGCGTATCTTCCAGCAGTGAAAGCCGATATCGTAACGTCAATGCCGCTGGAAACACGTTCACGAGCTTATCGCTAACTGAGGCAAGCAATAAGTATGACGAAAGATGTAGAAAACCAGGAGTAAAAGTGGATTTGCCGAAGTGAATCCGACTATACCGGGCGCGCCGACGAGTCGTCGCCCGTGGAGCGTGCGTGTACTCCCGAGAAACTGGATTGCCGGGCAAACACTGAGCCACAAAGCCGCCGCGGCTGAAACAACAGGAACAACCACGAAAGGCGAATGCCCGAGTAGATTAACACAGACGAAGCGTTTCGGAGTCCAGTGTCAAGTAAACCCACGCACGATGTACACTCGCTCTCGTCGGCTTTTCCGTGTCGTCATCGCTCCATTACACCTCACGCATCTCCACGACCAGGAACAACACCTTCTCCGAGTAGTTCTCCTTCCTCCCATGCTGCCAATGTGGTTTCTCCCTCCGCTCTGCTTCGTTCGATAACACAGGCTGCGCGCGCAACGATCGTCCACCTTGTCAGTTTTCCAATTTACCACGAGATGGTGACACTTCTGAAATTATGAGAAATGCCGTGAATAGCAATAGACACGCGGTGCATTCGGCAGATCGAACGAAGGAATGTCTTAGGAATGCCTTAGGAACCGTCGGCTCTGCTGTAATTTACATACCTACTCTTTGTCAGATGCATTGAAAGTAGGAAAATATAGGAGGCCGCGAACAAGGGTTTTTTATGTTAAGCTTTAGGATCTGTGAGGACCTACAGGAGTTTAGGTTTTTACCGACTGGCACGGCTGGCGAGAGAGCATCAAAATAGGATTACATGAGATCAGTTTTAAAAATCTTTAGCCTCGGGAAACTGCTGGCGGTCGCGGAGGCGCTGCCCAGCGCAGCAAGTAATGCCCAATTATAAATTCCTGGCCTATCGATGTTTATGACGCTCGTCGTTACCATCGAAAGTTGCCATATAACTAAACGGCTGGCGTTGCGCTCAGGGTCCGGGAACCTCGATGTAGCACTTACCTAACTTAGGTACAATCGCGTTCCCCGATTAGGTACATCTTCGATCTTTCGATCGAATCGAAAATTCGGGGACAGTGATGAGACTGATGAGTATGATGGAATGAATACTCTTGTACGTTACGGCGTTATCAGGAAAATATGTCTTCACTTGCGAGGCACACGATTCCCTCGCTTGGCCATGGGCAGCATAAGAGGAGTTAGAGGTATAAGAGTTGCTCGATAAAACGAAATACACGTTGAATGGATGCTCGTTTTTGCGGAGGCATCGGGGCGCATCGGAGAGTCAGAAAATAAAAGTCAGTAACGTCATGTCTTAGGAGTGGTAAGTTTTTAAGGCACCTCCTTCGGGCACACCCGTATTCGTTCCCGTAGGCTTCTGGCGATTGCCGCACCCAACGGCACAGATTCTGCTTAATAATTTCACGGAATCATCCACGCTAATCCACAAATAATCCAGTTCACAGGTAAATACTGATCGACTACTTTCCTTCGTTCGGCCGATCCAAACGAACGAAAATTAATGACACCGAATTCTAGTCTTGAGAAGGCAAAAACGCTGCGAGGCAGAAAACTCTAAAGTCACTGGTCTGTCTTCAACTGCCCGGAGGAACGAGCGACGTCTGTCAGTTCGTATCGATATCCAGCGTACACGTCTGTAAAGCGTTTATATTAATTCATATAGAGAATTCAATGAGTTCGGACATCCTGTACCACCACGACCGTGGTCATATATCGGGAAGCCAAATAATAGCATCAGAGATACGTGCGACTGGTATAAGCCATTGCTCGAGCTTTGAGATTCCACAGGATTGAAAAACAATGAGACAGCGTCGTATAAAATATCGAGTCGATATTTTCGAATAACTTTAGTTGCAACGAGTCAGAGACGCAGAGCAATGGGCACGCAACACGCACATCCGCACACACGCACGCAGGCAGGCAGGCACGCAGGCACGCAGGCACGCAGGCACGCAGGCAGCGCACTATAAACGCCTTGACTTTGTCCTCATTCCTCGTTCCCGACGTTCTAGCTCAGTCTCTTTTTTTTTTTCCTTTGGTGTAACGTCCATGCTCCCGTAGCTTCTTCCACGTTACCGAATTGAGCTATCTGAAGCAGCGTTAAACGGGTTATGATTTTAGGAAGTTCGGCAAGTACCGCATGGGCCCTGACCAACGGAGAATAGCATTCGCCCGCTAGCGACACTCGTCCTCGCTCTGCAGCAGGACTCTGCGAAATATAAAGCGATTGCATCACTTGTAGAATAGTGCAATAGTCTAGGGGGTACAAAGTAAAACCGGTCTCGAGAAGGAGGCTACGTCGCTGCGGCGCGACAGTATCCTTGGATGCTCCTGAGATTGCCCCTGCCTCTTTGAACGTCGCGCTAGTCCCGATGAACCCCGATCGCCAAGTTTTCCTCGTTTTTCTTCATTTGCTCGCCACCGTCTCCAAGGCGAATCAGCGAAACGACGTGGACGCTGCGTGTGTCGACGGCGATGACGATCCGACGCTCATGAGATTGACGCAGGTTGCTGGATCTGGGTGATGTTCGGAACCCTGATTCGATCCGATCCCGTACTCGTAGTCGTAATCGTAGGTCCAGAGCGTGGTACCCCCACCGACCCAATTGGCTCGCGTATATATTGCCAAGGTACCTTGCGAGTAGTGCCAGTGAGTTTGTTGACTTAAGCTAAAGTTCGTTCGTTCGTTCGTTCGTTCGTTCGTTCGAGCTGTGTTAGCTCCGTGAAAATAGAGATTAGGTACGCGATCCGTGGAGCAGCCTATCGCGAACGTGCCCCTTTCTTGCTCACGGCAGAGACCCTGTCGCCTCGTATTCTCTTCTTGGAACGAGAACCAAGAGACTTGAAAATAAATGGCCGTAGCTGCATGCAAATGCTGGCTACACTGCGGACTCCTCGTGGTCCTTTGCGTGCGATGGGCATGCTCCTCCCACAGCCTGTCGGACGGAGGAAACGATTTCGTCGAACGATGCAGAGCAGATTGCGATCGTCAGGGAAACCTGCTTGCATGCGGCAAGTACAAAGCCGTAAGGTGGCTGCGGGATCTGGCCAAGACGAAGGTGAGTTGCCTTTGAAGAGTCCCTGAAGGATAGCTCTACCCTTGGCAGGAGGCCCTTCATATTTTCCAAGACTCTTTTCAACGAGCTTTTTACCAATACCCGCGTCTGGCGACACGCGGCACTTTCATTAGTTGGTTGTGGGACGATTGCGCAGGAATACAGCTACGGACCTCTTAGGCTGGTGCGAATGTCTTTGGGAGGTCAAAACGACACCGAGTCCCGCGCGCCGAGGGAGTCGCAAGCTCGCGGTAGCAAAACAACTGACACCTTGAACTTTGTCCGGGCCCTCGCCGAGGACATGCTGACCCGGCGAGCACTCGTCTACACGGTGGACCATTCGGCAGGCGCGAGGAGCCTCCCACAGATGAGAACGCTGCCGACCGGTCCCCTCCTGCTCGACGAGGAGGAACTCGCCGCGCTCGAGAGCGGACGATCTGACGGTTCGTTTTTACGTTTTTAACTCATTGTCAGTCGACTCCTGGGTGCCCCTTCGTACAGCCGCACGCTTCTCGACTAAAGCGCGCATTTAACTTACAGACGATCAACGGATTCTCTTCAAGAAGAAAAAAAAGTCCATCGTACTGCCGATTCTTGTATTGCTGAAGCTCTTCAAGCTGAAGCTGCTTCTGCTGCCGATATTCTTTGGAGTTCACTTTATCAAAAAGTTCCTCCTACTGGGAACCTTGGTAGCACCGTCCATCCTGGCACATTTGAGATTCTGCAAAGTTCCGCCTGCCTCCCACCAGCATCAACAGTCATATCCGTATCACACTTGGAGCACAGCTGCGGAAGCTCCAGTTGACTATCCGACAGGTATAACGAGGCAACTACTTGGGAATGACTGTCGCCGTATTTTTTCTTTTTTTCTTTTTTTCTTTTTTTCTTTTTTTCTTTCTTTTGGACCGATCGTTATAACGGCCGCCGTCTTTGCGCTGTTTAGGCTTCGGACACGAGGATGCCGGCTGGGCCTCCAGACACGATATCTCCGGCCACGGCTCCTACCAGAATTATCCCGGCTACGCCGCTGCGGCTCACCATTCTGCCGGACCTTATGCCCCTTACGTTTCCGGATATCGTCGCCACTATCAGGACCAGCGCCAGTTGCAGCTGCATCAGCAACATTTGCAGCAGCAGCATCAACAACAATCTTCGGCCCTCCAATCGTCAGTCTAGGAATCTTCTCCCTTTTCCTCTCTCCATGTTCCAATCCTTCTTATGCATTAAAACTTCTTACCATCGTGAACTTCGTCACTCTATTCTTCGTTTTTGCTCTTGTGCCTCCAACATTTCCGCATGGCAACATGCCGGACCTGCTTCTGACGAGGCTCAAAAATTCGGAACCTAAAGAGTGCCTGAGAGTCTTAGACTTCGTGCATGTGCTCTCTTAACTTTCCAGGCGATACTCTTGAACCATATACTCCTTAAAAAAAAGAACGTCGAATTCCCTCAAGCAACTCTGGATTCTTCGCTCACCCGCGTAACTTCCTAGAGAACGAGAATCGTCGTTGATCATCGATAATCTGGTCGCAGCTAATCTCAAGGCTACGTTGAGATCCACTATGCGTATATGTACGAGAGTTCGGTAGCCCCTCGCTTCAGTGACCTACTGACAGATTTGGCCGCGTGCCACCCCACTGCCCGTTCGTCCGGCTATTCGACTGTCGATAGGCTGCAGGTGTGTCCTCTCCCCATTTCCATATATTTCCGTGTCGCGACCGACCACGGGCTCATTCTGCGAAAACCGTTATCATCTATAAATGCGTTCTCCTTCTCATTTGCTTCAACGGCTCGTGCATCTTCCGATTGGGTTCTTGTTCTTATGATCACCCTGGACATTGTCGTTATCAACGTTGGCACGTAACGTTCGTCCAAAGTCCCCGATCGACGTGACGCACGCTATGGACGTGACTGTTGCTCGATAAAACGGCAAATGACAATGATCAAGGAAAACCATAGCGATTGGTTTAGGCATGGGTTACCGTCGAGTGCCGCTGATACGGCGTCCTGCGCTCACACGCGACAAGTCAACCGTTACGTGGGCATGTTCTGCGAACGAAAAAGTCACATTAACATAACGGGCCTTGGCTCGCGTATCACAATGCGTGCCTCTTCTATGCGCAATCTATATGTATAATTGTATACCAGTCGATGTTTCTCAAAGTAATTGCAAGTCGGCTGTCGGACGGCCACCGATCGGCTCTTCCAATCGTTTCGACGGGAAGTCCCTTGTGAAAGGTGATCCCGTCAACGCATCTACTGCTAACTAAGTTGGCAAACGTTCCGATCGCTTGAGTAATATTGCCGATATCGCGCTGTTTTTTCTTTTTTTTTTACGAAACTTCGAATTTGTAAATCTCCGAAGATTGCAGCGAAAAATTAAAGCACCTGTCTATCTGTCGGCGAACGCTATGCCGAAACACGAAAGTTCCGAGGAATTTACAGAATCGGCGAGAATAGTCTAGGATAAGGAGCACAACGAAGCGACCGCTGGAATAAATATAGTAGGGAGAACGGATGGACGGATGGACGGATGGCGGCAGTGTGGCGGTCGAGAGGGAGGGAGTGGAGGGCGTGCGGCCGGGTAACCCAGATCGGCTCGTCCAGTTGATTCTCCGACACTGGCTGCCAGTATCGTGTCACCTGCCGAAGTCTCGATTCGAGTCCACCTTCTCCGTTTTATCTTTCAAGAACTGTTGGCCCGTTCTCTGAGCTTGAGGAAAGTTTCATCGTCGTTGTACTTACCGTCCTTCTTGACGATTGCTGCAAGTGCGGTTCGTAGACGATGAACGTTTCGACGACAAAGACGATCCTACCAAAAACGAGGACGAGTGTCTCATGCCAATGACGAGCCCTCGCAAGAGGAGTGAGTACCACCCTGCTCATTTTTCTTTGATTGTGAGACTAATTGTCTCTCACGATTCTTTCCATTGCCATAGGTACTGAAAGACACGGTGGAGGGCAACGTGTGACGACATATTGCTTAATTGTAGAAAGGATTACTGCTTGACAATCGCACTGTAATCTTTGGTTGGCCGTTTCGGAGAAATCAACGAGAGGGACGCGCGTGAGTATTGGGGGGAAGGAAGAGTGAAAAAAAGAGAGAGAAAAAGAGTGATATCGCTATCGCGGAAGAAGGAAGAGAGAGAGAGAGAGAGAGAGAGAGAGAGAGAGAGAGAATGTTGGGCTCGAGAAGAGTAACACGTGGAGTGAGGATCTTGACAGTGACCTTGGCGCTCGCCTGTCTCTTTGAGGCGGTCAAGGTCAGAGCCAATGAAGAAAAGCTAAGGAGTAGAATAGCCCTCAGAGATGACGCAGGCGGTGGTCTGGCTATCGGCGAAACGAACGAGATCCAAGGGAATGAGGAACATCCTCACGCTCAGCCAGGTAAGCCGAGCAAGTTTGACAGGGACGACTCGCAATTGACGCATTCGGATCAGGAGGCACAGAACGAAGTTGAGAAGGCAACAGAGACGTCAATGGAGAATTTGGCTAGCAACAGGGTAGCTGCTAATTCTTCTGGACTTTCGTTAGACTCGAGGACCTCGGCGGCAATCGCGTCGATGAGCTGCGAGGAGAGCGAGACCTCGGCCCTTGGGTGCCTCGAAGCTCAGCTGGAAGAGTTCGTCGATCGTTTGTCCACGATCGAGACGTACAATTTAACAGATTCGATTCAGATAGTAAGGAGCGTCAACGAATCGAGCGCTCTACCGAAGGATGATCGGGATGGAGCACGGGAGGAGCATTCGTTGCTCGAGAAGGTCGAGCGGTACGCGCTGCAGCATGTCGTCCGGATAAAGCTGCCTCGAGAGCTGATCGCGTCGAGGGAGTCCAGAACGTTTTTCGGCGGTAAGTGAGGACACGTGAGGAATGTCCAAAGCGTCAATGAAAGAAAGGAGAGGCCCGAGCCTGGCTGGGCAAGGGAGTGGGAGTGGGAGTGGGAGTGGAAGGGGTGACGGTAGCTTGTGACTGGGAGCTTTGATCCTTGAGACCTCGGGGACCGCTGGTCGACCGCGGCTATTCGTAAATGGAGTCGCGGCTATTTGACATGCAGGCGCGCTTCTCACTATTCGATCGAGGAATTGAAACTCAGTTGTCATCGGCGATATGGAATGAGGCTACAGCATGGCTAACAGGACTAACCGCAGAGCTTTAATCGGCTGGTACTTTTGCTTTCAGCCATCTTTCAGGGAAAGAGTTCCTTTTTAACAGGATTCGGGCTTGGTTTTCTAGCGTTCGGCCTGAAGAAGTTGCTGTTACCGCTGATTATCGGCGCCCAAATCATAAAGAGCGTTCTGATAGCGCTCTTCCTGCCGAGCATCATAGGCAGCATTGGTAAATTCGTTGGCAAGGGTACGTGTGTCCCGTTAGCAATGTAGAACGGTGACGAACAGCTGGAACACGTTACGGGTTCTCCTTTCAGGCGTCTCGTCCTTTGCGCAGAGTTCGCAAGCCGCGAACCAGCAGCCGGAGGATAACTTCGAGTTCAAGGACAACTTTGACCTCTACAGCGATCAGTACATGAACAACCAGCCAGTTGGCACGTTGCCTGCGTCAGCCATGTACGAGGAGAGAGTACCTGGTGCAAATAACGAGATTGCCTCTCGTTACTCTCTCGCCGACTCGTCTCTTCCCTCTCAGAGAATTTCCGCGTCTCACCTACACTCGGACCGTTACTATTCGAGAACCGCTGCCCTGCCGACTCTGACCCTCTCCAAGAAACAGGACTTTAAGGTGCGCCTCTCACTCGACCGACATGACCGAACCGCTCGATCGCCTACCGACCCCCCCCTCCCCACCCGCTCCCCACCCCTT